CTTCTTTTTTTGTTTTTCCAACGGCCAGTGTTTCTAAATGTTTTACTCGCTGGGCGCGAGAGCCAGCCCTTTTCATTTACCTCGCGCGTGAATCTTTTTTTATGGCTGTCGTACCGTTTCCATCTAGAATGCTACTGAACGTGCGTTATTCTCTTGCCGTTCATTCTTTTGACTTGAAAATCAATTTCCTTGTTGCTCTGCCTAACGACTGCAACTCAAGTTAACAACTTGTCGTAGCATCTTTTTTACAAGGCAACAGTAGCTCGTACGAGTCTACGCTTTCATCGAAAAATAATTTCGAATCGGACATAGCTCATTGAATATTCAATACCAGAGTTTGCGCGCGAACGAGGAGCGCTTCTCGTTGTCAGTAGTACGAAGGAAATTTAGTCAGACATTTTTTTTTCTTGAATAACGCGAGCTTTTTGTTCTGTCCGACATGTAGCCTCTCGGTCGAAGAGATCCTATCTTACGAAGATGAGTCGCCGACATCCAGCGTTGTGATTGGTCGATGCTAAGAAATAGCACGAAATTTTGAATTTTTCTATACTTTGAAATATTTTTATTATATATCTAGAAGTGTGAGATTTATATTTCAGCAGTAAATTCAGTGAATTTATGAATAATTAACATGGATAATAATCTGCAAGAATGAAAGTATGCCATTAATAAATCGTTTTTAGGTTATAAGACATTATGTTTTGAAATTATCAGTATAGTGTAATACTTAAATTAATATTATTGTTTTAAAGTTTGGTAGAAAGAGAACGGTAACGAATAGAATAAAATAGACGAAAATACATTTTTATCTTCCGTATATTGTAAATTAAAAAGTGTGCGATTAATGGAAACTAATTATCAAATTATTAAATCCGTTAAATTTGGAGAATATTAACGGGTGTACTTATATAGGCAACAAAAGGCACACGATGTCAAATGTGTTACTCATAGTGATACAAGATTGGAGTTATAATCACTACTATTAAGTACGTAAAGTTTAGTGTTGTATAATAGTATAGTTTATTGATCGTTAGTTGAATTAATCTTTTGGATAATTTTTCCGATACATCGTGATATGGGTAAAAGTTGAACGGTATTTGTGAAAAAATGGGTGCAAGTTCTTTTTATTCATCAATGTATATGGATGTATGTAGTCTATTTTAAATGACATGATTTATTTGTGCCCATTAGAATCTCCAATAACAGAAAAATTGTAAATAAACAGCGCGTAAGGCGCGTTTACTAACACTAGTACTGCAAAACTTGAAAAGTTAGGTTCGCTCTTGCCTGGACACGCTAGACATTGATTGCTAATTAGAAAACTCTGTTTCACATTATTTATTATTGAGCATGGTCAAGCTGTAGGACAACGAAGCTCAGTTTTGAAAGAATTCAGGAGAAAGAGGAGAGTAATGGAAAGCTAACACTTGTCGAAAAAAAGCAGCGGCGGATTAGGCGAAAGTAGAGGGAGGAAAAAAGAGCGACTGACTTTCATAATTGAACAGATTCCAGCTGGAAATCTCGGGTGCGCGGAGGTGAAAATCGGCATGGCAGGAGCAGTAGCGGCAAAGAAAGGCAGCAAAAGAAGAAGGAGTACGGCTAAGGGTCGCGACGGAGAGGAAGAAAAGACCGCCGAAGTCTAACGACTGGAGCGCTAGGCCAAGAGCGGCCACGAGCTATGAAATAAAGACTACGCTCGGAGAGAAGCAGCCCGGAGGATCTGCTCGGAATTCGGCCAAGCAAGCTGCATTGGGATTCAGCTCGCCGGCGGATCTGGGAGTCGCGTCGCTCGCGTATAACAATGCGGAAGGAAAGGGCCAGGGCCGAGGGAAGGCGGCCGGCCTGACGCGCGCGATCGCCCGATAAATTCGCTCGCTCGCTCGATACGCTGAATCGAGAACGCGTTCGGCTCGAATAATTTAGCGGCGGCTCTCTTTTTCCACTCGCTGGCTCGTCTTCGTCTCGCTCCGCCTCGCCTCTTTGTTTCTTTTGCGTTTCGTGTCTCTCATTTTCATCGCGGCGCTTGAGCTTTCGCTCGAGAGCTCGTGGCTGCCGCCAGTTTCCGGAAGAATTCAGGCAAATTATTTGAATCCAGCCGGGCTAGTCGTCCAATCGACTGCGAAATAACTGTCATTCGCGCGCACTGGCGACGGCGAGGGAGCGCGCGCGATGCATTCAACGAATGCTATGCGCGCAGCCCCCGCATGCGCGCGTTCGGCTCAGTCATTCGACAAGAACACGACTCCTGAAACCTCTTTAGTTTGTTTACCATCTCCCTTTGTTCGATCAGTGCTTAATTAGAGAATTGACACAGAGCCCGAGAAGCTTTCCTGGAGCGTGCTCTTTTGCCATTCAACCATTAGTTCTATGAAAGCTTTTTCTTCGCGCTGCTTTTCCCAACAACTAAGGAAATATGGCTTTTGTGTTTGCTTCTTCTTTGCGCAATCTTTTGTGGTGCCTGTGATTTTTAAGACGTAGAATAAATCTTCAAAGCGAAGAAAAGGAGCCTTTGCATTATTTTTTAGAGATTAATTAGAAACTCTAAACAAGTAAAAACAATACATAATATTTAACTATCGGGAACAAGTTTTGACATAGCGCCACACGCGGATTAAATTTGCTGAATGGAGCTAAGTTGAAAAACGTGTCGCGGATTTGTAAGCCGGTGTGTTGTTGTTGTTGTGTTTTGGGCGCAGAGACGTAACATCAGCAGCCGCATCGAATGAGACGTTTGTTTTGTCGGAGTGAAAGGGGGGTTGAAGGGAGGAGGATAGAGGAAAAAGGAAAAGAAAGGCGCCTACCCCAATCTGTAATGGAGTCCATGATTTATCGCCCCTGGTGTTCCGACTCGAATGTGTTTGCTTTGAACTTTTTTTTATCTTCTTAGCATGCCTACTCAATCCCGTTCTATACTCTTTTCCTACTCTTGCCGTATTCGGCTATCTTCTCTCTCTCTCTCTCTCTCTCTCTTTCTCTCTCTCTCCGCATTTCGTTTTCTCTTTGTATCCACGAAAATCTCTCTTGCCTCCTTTCTCCCTTGAATGAACTATACATTTGTCAGTCGATTTCCATGTTTTATTTACATTGTCCTATTTTTCTTGGATTTCCGTAGTTATTCAACTTGTTACATTGATACGAAATTTTCTTTATTACATTATCGAAAGTTCATTTCTACAGTTCTCGTAAATTTGAATAATCTAGTTTTATTTTAATAGATTTGTAATTTATCAAGTTTTTTTTTTGGCTCGCAACAATTTTCGTAATTCAATTTACGTGCACTAGTTGACATGAAAATTCAAATAACACCTGTAAAAATAGAAAAAAGCTATTTTGCAATTTATCGAGAAATGTGATAAACGTTGTAAAAAGCGCATTGGAGTTGCAACAGCAATTTTAATCACCAATCAGTGTTTTTATTCACTTCTCTTTTAGTGTGAGGTAGAGGTGAACTTGCAAAGTGGGGAAAGCTTTAACGATCGTTCTGATAGTATTCAAAGCGCATTAGGCGAGATTCTCCTTCCGCATTTCTTTTACACGGATGGATCGTATAACGTCTTGGGAGTGGCTCAATAAAATCTCATTCGCTGCCATTGCGCTGCTCGCTGGATCTCTCAAATAAAACTCGGATGTATCGGCGCGCCGATACATCTCTGCTCCCAACAACTTTCTGGATATACTACGCGAATCGTCGTCGTCTCCCTTTTTATTTTTACCTTTTTTTCTTATCTCGTTTTGTTCACTTCGATCCGCGTTTCGCTCCAACTCTCCCGCCTTATTTTTCTTAAAAAAAAAATGTTTCAAACTCTTATCTTTTTTATAGCTATCGAAAGCAGTTTGTTTTTTCCCCCAAATGTACGCGAAATCGTCTGTTCTCATATATCTTTTGTTTTGTACGTCCCTCTCTCTCTCTCTCTCTCGCGCGCGCGCGCTCATAGCCTTTCGCTCGCGAGATACAACTCAGAGAAAATCTCGCAATCATGAAACATTCAAATGATTTATGAGAATAAGGAATATTTACAGCAATGCGCGGTCTGTTGCATGCGATACGTGCCCGCTTAATCCGAGGTTTATGTTTCCTCATACACTCAATGTCTAACTCGATTATTTCGCTAATGCATGGTTTAAACTCTTAAAGCTTACGCTGTAATATCAATCTTTCCTTTCCCCACCTGCTCGTTGAAGCTGTCCTGACTCTTTGAATTTTTTAAATAACTGTAAAACTAATGCAATTAAGAAAGAGACAAAAGTAGTTGCGCAACCGCCTAAGAGTAAACTGAAAATTAATCCAGCACTTTGTATCGACGAGCTTGCACGCTCGTAAGAGTGCATCGCGTTTCAGAGCGGCTCGCTCGAAAGGAAACGCGAGACTCGTGGAAGAAAAAAGCTTTCAAGAAATAAAAAATAGGATGAGAAGGAGGCGAACACGAGAGAGGGAGAGTAAAAAACAATTGGACGAAATGAAGCGCACACTCGAAGTGGACCGGTGCACGAGCACCATTTATCGTCTATCCAGCATGGTACCTACATATAAGAGAACGATAGAGAGAGAGAGAGAGAGAGAGAGAGAGAGAGAGAGAGAGGAGCTTTGGTGCAACAGAAAATGCCAGCAGGAGCAACGCGCCGTTGTTATTCTCGTTTTTTTTCTTTTTTTTTTCTTTCTGCCGTTTCCTCGCGTGCTCGCACATCCTCGAAAGTGCCCTACCATTTGGGTGATTATTTATCGACGCTCGTCCACCCATCAACGTTCTCTTCCTTTCGCTGTGCACCACTCGTTAATTACGAGCCCATGCTCATTGCACGACACGCTAGCATTCAATGAACGATATGTAATAAACAACTTGCTCGGCTGCGTAAATCTGGCGTCAATAATTATAGACAAGAAGATGATCGATTTCTACACGTATATTACGCAACAGTCAGCGATTTTACTTCGGTATTGCACTCTTGCGTATAGTGAGCGAGATAGCAAGATCGATGTAACTTGATTTTTGTTTTTGCAGGAAGAAGACCTGCGCAAGTCATTGGACCCGAAGTATGCTCACTTGACGGACGACTTGCACGTGGAGATAATAGCATTGGCACCACCAGCCGAAGCACACGCCCGCATTGCTTTCGCTTTGGCCGAGGTGCGCAAGTACCTGATTCCCGACAACAATGACAACATCCGCCAGGAGCAGATGCGCGAGATGGAGCACATCGTTGAGGAGCCCATCGAGGAGAGACGACCAAGTGCACGAGGAGGTATACTCAGACCAGTTGGCAGACCTGTACCACCAGGACCACCTGCTATGCGTGGACCAGCTAGACGTAAGTTTCATTCTTTGTTCAAACAAATCGATAGATATTTATTGTCGGCTGTTGATAAAAAGAAATAGTATTTTTAATGAATGATCGTGTGATCGATATATAAAATATCTTTTTCGAATAAGCTGAATGAGAAATAACGAAAAGACAATTTAGATTGCAGATTTCAACCTAATTCCATTGCACTTATGAATTACAAATTCATATCGTCCGCGCGTTATCTTTTGTTTGCAGCAATTCTTCCACCCCCACCAGCGCCACGCGGACCAGCTGCTCGTCCCGTAGCGGCCAAGACTAAAGTTTTCTCGATTTTGGATCGCGCTAGAGTTGCTATGGATCAAAGCTATGGGTAAATTTTGACGTTTTATTCGATAGACTTTTAGAATGAGGTTCATTTTCATGAAGCGAGGCAGTTATTGATAATCACTTGTCTAATTATAAAATAAAAGTCAAAAAGTTCAACGGACATAATAGCTTGCTCAGTGGTTGAATATTTATTTACACACAGGTACGAGTCGACCCCACCACCAACAGCCGGCCGTGCCTCTCATCACGACTACGAATACTCCTCAAATAGCGGTAGTCGTTACGCTGGTAGCGACCGTCACTACTCATCATCGAAGTAAGTAGTTTGGATATTAAGCCTTCTGCTTTAAAAAAGGTACTTTTTTATAATTTGATTGCTTCGCACCACTGATAAGGTTTATCTCGAAGTTGATTAAAAAGAAATTGGAACTGTCTGTTAGTTTTCATTAAGTTGTAATGGTTCAAGTTATAATTTATTTAAATGTATTATTTGACTTTGAAATAGTCCGCGCTGTTCTGAAATGGGTATAGTTATTTTCCTGCGCTTACTTAACTGGGAATTTCGTTTCTTTGCCTAAACTTACTTCATGAATGTTTGATGTAATATTTACCCAGTGCTTCGCTCTATCCGCCTTCACCAAAATCTTCTTCGCCAACTTCCTTGTTTGAATAATACTACGAAATTTAAAACCTTAATGCGCGCTGAGAATTCTCAATGTCAAACTTGGAGGATCCGAAAGATCGCGTTGCTTGCATGATTCTCATCATCATTCGTTTGATATCTCACAATCGGAAACGTTTAGCATTATTGCGACGGTCAACGGAAATTCGAATCAGCCGATCAGTATATTTATGCTTATAATTTCTATTCTTCAGACAATCCCGCGTTAAATTATGTGGAAACGAGTGATACCTATAAGTTCAAGTCTCGAAAGTTTTGACAAAGTCTCATTTATTCAAACGCGCAGCAGCAACCGACTTCGTTTGGCAAATTGCGTCGAAAGTTTCTAAATGTTCAGTAGCAAAGATACATGAGAGATTAACGGCAAATCCATAGTTCGCCGCGGAATAAAGTCGCAAGAGCGATTGCTATTGCTCGCAATTAATCAGTGGGTGGATGTTCTTTTACTTGGGGGGACATTCTAGTTGAGAGAGGGAAAACGAGGCCAAGTCGATTCCAATATCGGCTTACGTAAAGGAATAAGTTAAAAATTGCTCCGACTTGTCGCGCCTGGATTTTACACGCTGCTTCTTTTGCTGTACTGCATTTTGTTGCTGAAAAAACTTGGCGCTATCAGCGCTCCATTCCTTAACCTTGAAGCTACTTTCTCGCTCTTCTTATACTAGTTTATTGCGAGCTCGAATATTCATGCAAACGTGTAGCTCAGTTCTTTTTCAACTCGAATTTTTCGCTGCGCGCTCACTTTTTCCCTTTTTTCTGCTATTTAAATGTGCCCTCACGTATCGGAATCGCAAATAACAGTTTCTCCTTTTTTGCATAAGAATTCACACTTTGAGCTACCTAAACTTGCAGTCGTTCTATCAATAGAACGCTTGAACTTGCTGAAAAATATTTATATTTTAAATTGAATATTTCAATTTAATGTTTACACTGAAAGAAAATTTTCTGAAAAGTTATAATGAAATTCATTAGAAAAAACAGGATGCGTAACGGTAATCTTAGGACGCTATAGTTACTCGATAAAAATTATTAACACACCATCATTTTTATCTTGATTCGCGTAAATACTATTTTTTGTATGGCAATTTTTCCTGGGAGCCTTATAATTTTCGTAATGATATTCAGCGGAATTTTATGATACACCACGGTGAAATCACCACCTCTTTACGTTGATTATACTTTGACTTTCCTTCGTTGGAATACAAATGATTTAACTGACAAAATTAAGCAGCAGATTCAATCATATGCTAATTTGAATTGAAAAGTCACTTCAATATTATGAATGTAAGTATAAACAAATGTAATAAAATTATCGAAAGCTATTAATGTATGTACATATTACAACTTTAGAGGTTAATAATTACAGACGCGAAATTTCATGTATGTGCATTCAAGTCATTGATGGAATGAGCTGAAATACACAGTAAATTATGTATATAAAACATGGTAGAATTTATGAGTTATTTATAGGATGGAGTATGCTATGTAATGGGCGTGTAAAATATAAACGATAACGCGTTTTATAAAATTTGTTTTTATTGAATTGTAAGTAAAAAGTACAGCACCCTTACCAGCAACCTTAATGATTAAAACTATTTAAACCAATTTTTTACAAAGTACGTTTTTGCCATTTGGGCTTCTAGCACAATAAGAGAGAGAGATACCATACAAGGATTCTTTTCTCAAAGTAACAGACTGATTTTTTGCAGGATCAATTGGATAAAACGTTATATGTTTATCTGAAACTAAATTTATGAAAAACACCTATATTGATGAACTTATCCTTATCAATGTAAATAATTTCAGATACTTTATAAAATTGAGAGCCATCTTCTTGAGGAATTATAATAATGTTTTCTACATTTGTATAATATCCTTCAAAGCTTATTGAATTTGTTGTCAAAACATATCTTGTTTTTAAGAGAGCTTCGAGCAAATCTGTATAAATGTAGGAAAACTTTGATAATTTTTAAACAAATTTTTAAATTATCTTCAGTAAAGTCACATAATTGTTAGTTTCAAAATCAGATGATAGTTCTTGTAATAATCATTGATTAAATCGCAATTGATATTTAATTGCAATTGTATGACATATATTTATCCTATTTAGCGATACTGCAGCTGTCGTTTTTTCTACTCTATGAAAAGCTTCAAAAAATGCACAAAACTTATTTCCCATAAAGATTCAATCATAAATAGTATTCGGAGATAGTATTATCACAAGTAATGCTTTGGCTTTTCCTGACCGGGAAAATTTTTATTAAGACTCTTCAAATAATTAGAAATTTTTAATCGCAGAGTATGTGCAATACTTTTATAAACACAGCTACTTACAGATCTTTTAATAATGGAGCGTAACATTTTGAATAATTTCCATTCTTTGTTATTTTCCGGTATAAAATAACCAATAATAATTTTAATATGGCGAATGATATATAGCATTTCTGATACTGACATTTTTAACCTTTTTTTTGAATATGTGTTCTTTAATGAGATGATTTGATTCTTCCAATGTGGAAAATTTATAATTTTTTATAAATTGACGTAAATAAAGTGCTAGATCATATCGGACCGTCCCATTCAGATCATCATGCATAACGCCTCCAGTGTAATTTTCAGTCGAATGCCATTGAATATTGCATGAAACACACTTTCTTCAATAATTTCTATCACCTTTGTATCTCTTACAATCAAATGTCGTGCATCATTCTCTTTCGTGCGAATGAAATTTCCATCTTCAACGAACATTTTGCACATATTTTCGCGACGCATAGAACAAAATCTACAAAAAAGTGAATTTGTAATACGGATATTTGTAATAAAACCAAGAATTTCATTCAAGCCTAAATTATATCTTAATACGAGACAAAGCTTAACAAATATCTGTGTTTTTCTATCTGGAAAACAATATTTTCAAGCTTTGCTTGCATATCAGGAGTTAGATAAGGAATTAATATGTAAATCGTACCACACTTTGCGATACCTCTATAGTTGCCTAAGGGATTGTTAGTCTCATAATCATTGAAAAATATACATATACAAATACATACACAAATACATTATCATCAAAGCCCCTTGGACAGTCATCAGGAACAACCTTGAAAAGTAATGTTTCTTGTATAAATGCAGTGGTTAACTTAGAACTAGCAAAAAGAAAATACATTGTTACCATTTTGATACTAGAAAATCACAAAAGAGAAAGTCAATAACAACAAAGTCCTTTATATCATAAACAGAATATATGTCTTTCAAAGTCCAAGACCGGTAGAAGAGCTTTTAGATTAGGTCGATAACTGAATTATGATATCTATTTTCATGTTACGAATGTTAAAAATTCACCTAATTTATTTATCTTGACTGATTTATTCAATGAGCTAATAAAGTTGTATAATATTATATTGTTTTCCTGTGTCTAATTGTCAAAGCACGGCTATTACTGCCAATGACGCAACTGACTATAAAACCTCTGTTGCACCGATTAAACTAAATTTCTACAATTATCGATGAGTACAATTTTTTTAAATTAACCAAAATTATTGTAAAAAATGGTAAATGTCTTTGACGTCCCAGATTACTAGTGGCCATCACTGTAATTTTTCGGAAAATTTTCTGTTCGTGTAGCTAAAAGTTAATGCTTAATTGATTTCTAAAGCGTTTGCATTTCTGGATGGATGTAATGAATTCCGAGTGCATCCGTGCCGTACATATGCACAACATTCCTCGGTTTTCCATTTAATGTTCCAGACTCGCAAGTAACCGCGAAATGTATTTTAGCTCACGTATAGAAATATGTTCATCGTTGTAAAATCGGGGAACACAGCCAAAAGGAAATAGTAGCTCTTTCGTGGAATAGAGAAAAGCCAAACAGAAGTAGAATCCGCGAGCGCGTAGCGGCATCAATTTTGCATGATAACTCGTAGGCAAGACGTCTCGCGCCTTAATCGACTGACTTGGCATCTCGGTGCCTCTTGTTTTTTTCCTCCTGTTTTCAGTGAAGAAATGTATCCGCCGCCTCCATCCTCCAGGTATGCCAGTGCTTCGTATGACTACGAAGAAGAGGCTGGGCCCCACGGTTCTTCCCACGACTACTACGAGTCGCCGGATTATCCTGGTAAATCCATTTTTCAATACTTCGAGAGCCGCATCGAATGTAGGTTACGTCGAGGAAAGAGCTAGCAGTGGGAGAAAAAAAAGCCGCTTTTATTTATTTACCGGGTACGAATAAAAAACGCGATACGTGACTTTCGCAGAAAGATATTCAATGAGTACGTTCAATAATAAATTGCAATTTTAAACGCATCTCGCTTTCAAAAGAAACAATGGAATGATATTATCAGCACCTGTATCATTGGTGGGCTCTTGTAAAATCTGTTTTTTGCCCTTTGACGTTTAATCCAATAAAAATTAATTAACCGATATCGTTCAATACAATTAAAAAACTTGTTTGAATAGCAGACATCTTATCAAAAGAGATGTCCAGTATTCATTATTCAGCTAGTCAGCGCGCGACATATGTTTTTAATACGTAGTACGTTACTTTTAACGCCATGCGAATGTTTTTGTTATTAGTTATAGATACAGATTTAAATACTGCTGGCTCTTTCTCGCTCGTAACATGAAATAACGTGAAATAATAAAATAAACTTTATTTTAGTTTTAATGAATCATATACCTTGAAAGCAATTTTAGAGATAAATTAAAAATAATTTTAATACAATAATTAATTTCGCTTGAAATGCTATGAAAAATAAACTATTCTCGAAACTTTATATCTATTAAATTTTATAAACATATTAATTAACTTTTAACTACAATCTGACGATCCAAATATTTAATGTGACACATAACATATTGCAATAGATCGAGAGTTGTTTCATAAATATGCGCAATATATCATTTCACATTTCAACATCGATAAATTAGACGTAATCTTTGAATAAGCAATAAAAACTTTGTTCTACGCCAGACACATGCTTTTAATTTGACAACTATAAATCACGATAATATTTTAGAAAGAGAAAAATGTTGTTACAAGCGACAAAAATTAACGTTAAAGAAACAAACTCAACGCAAATGTTGGACAAGCATACTAATCGAAAAAATTTTTTAAAAACCCTTAATAATTCAAGTGCAACGATCGATGAAATTCGAGGACTCATCTCATAGCCGCGCATGGAAGTCATACAAGACAACGACAACCGGCGCCGGGGGCTCGGGCGCAAGCTCGCGCTACCGTGCCGCCCCCTACTCACGTCCCGCTAAGTAAATGTTTCCAAGACTAATGCGATCCATCCTAGATGTATTACTCAAGGATTAAAACTCAGCGCCGCATTATTCGCCTTTATCATAATTTCTGTTGACGTATCATCAGTAGTGACGATATCGATTCTTCTTTTTGTGATTCTCTAGATTACAATACGTATATATTTACTCAATTCTTACGTAATATTTTTATTTTAGTTTATTAGATTTCACCATCTTATAAAGTTGATTTTTTTTACAACTAGCTAAAATCAATGGATCATGGGCGTCAACCGATGGTTTGTGCGGGGGAAGGTTTATTGCAATTGCGTGCCGAAATAGCTAATGTACTTTTTCACTTCCTTCGAATTGAATTACATTATAATTAATAACAATTGTGGCCTAATTATGCAAAAGAGAGTTTAAGGACTAACAAAAAAAATCGATTCACTTTAAAAATTAAAAATTGTAACCTATATGCCATGCCATAAGTTATGATAAGAAAACAAAAAAGAATACATTAATAGAACGCAGGAAAACTTAAAGAAAGTTAAGGACCTCACAAAGTACCGCGAACAAACTAATCAGAATGCTACGGCAAACCTAAACCTTTTACTGAGTTTCAACTTCATTTGTTAAGTTGTAGCATGAAGTGCTACGTCCATTTAGAGAAACAAAATGAATTAAATAGAGAATTTAATTGAGGACTAGAAATAGTTCAACCGTTGACGTGCATCCTTATAAATAACATAAAATGTATTTCTCATCCGACTTCAGAGGGCGAGATGTTAATCGTCAAAAGAAAAATAAACACAACTTTTTCGCTGTAATTTCTGTAATACAACAATTAAATAATCACGATTTCATTTAATATTCAGGTAGGGCAATATTAATGCAGTAGAATTAAACTGTAGTTTATAGGTGTTTTAGATGATGTCTTGATCTAATCAGAATTCTCACATTATCAATTATACGAACAAACTTAAACACGATAAACGAGTTGTTTCATAAAAAAATACATCAGAAAAAATTACTAAAAGTGTATCTTCTTAATCAACCTAAACATAATGTCCAACGCTAGCGAGGCGTAATATAAGATGCGTATAGAACATGTTTTGTTAAAAATAATGGGTATTGAATATGTACGTCACCAACAGTAACTAATACATACAGTAAATGGCGAATATTTAATTTTAATGCATTTTTTATCATAATTATGTATGACAATGATAATATAATAAAATAAAAATGAAATCAAATTACATTGTAAATAATAAATACCTTTCCAAAAATATTTGTCAATGTACGCTTATATAGACCAGCATAGAAAACAAACACCAAAAATCATATAAAGATATTTTTGACTGGCCTTAGTAAAAACTGTAATAAACACGTTGACATGACTGTATGTTATTTAAATTAACAAATTGAGTTATTGCGATTTAAAGAGAAAAAAATATAAAAATTTGTTAATTTTGAGCATGAAGTGTTAATTCATACTGCAATAAACAAAGAATAATATATATTTACTATAACGTATTACGAATAATATAAAATTTATAAAAACTGAAAAAATGTAAAATTGTATCTGAATGAATAGGCCATTCAAGATTCAATATGTGTAAATGTAGTACTAGTTTTTGATCCGACTCCAACGAAAACCATAACTCAATCAACTGGTATCACGCATGAGTAGTATACTCGTACACTGTACACATAACAATCATAAAAGGATAAAATCGGAAAATTGTTTTTTGTGATATTGATATCGCTTACAATAATCATCGATAATTTTCTACATATCACTTATATGGAGACATATAAAGAGGTAAATCAACATCAATTATTTAAATATAACTTTAGTTAAAATTATCGTTTATAATATAGAAGTATTAATCTTGTGTATACGGTGAAAAAAATTAATTAGAAGATAATCACGGCAAATAAATTAATATTAAAGCTAATGCTATTATGCTTTATGTAAGGTTACTTTTGCCTTTCTAATAAATTCAATTATTTGAATTACTTATTTATAAAAATGTTTAACTTGAAAGAGTATCAACTGCTTGAACATTAATGACTCGTCTAAAAATTGTTGCATATTAATTAATAACTATTTGTTTTGACTTAGTAAATATATGATTTTAGAGCAAAGGAACGCAACGCAAGGATTTCTTTCAATAAGATAGCGGTACACCAAAAATATAGAAGTCTTGCTGGTACATTTAAGAAATCATAGGAATTTGAAAATAGAATAAATGACGTAAAATTTTGAAATGTTGCATTTCGGAAAAATCTTCACTTTGTGCACAACTTTTATTTTGAAAGCCTAGTTGGAGTGGAGTTTATTTAGCTAGAAAAAAGTCTCCACCCGCTAAATCTTTTTGCTTAACGGAGTCGATTCGACCCCCGGGTGTTAATACGCGTTTGGCGATGTAAATCAGTAAATTGGATAGAAATTTAATGAGTCGAGAGTGCAGAAAGAGGCAAGGTAATTTTAGTTCTAATTGAGCATAACCGTATATTCTCATCAGGTGCGGCGAGGTTCGCGGCCGAAAGCGCGCCACCGCGCTCCTGCGAGCAGCAGAAACCTTCTTGGTGTCCAATAGAGCCGTGGACCGTAAAGTACTTTGACGTAAGTACGCGCCGGCATGGTGTGCAGGCCACTTTGACGCGTCTGTTTTAAGGCGATCATCAGTCGAGTCGCATGCTGCTGTAGAGAGGAAGCGCTTGAGTGTCGCGTCAATTTCTCTGGCTCCCTTTTGCCGTAGCTCGCTCGTTGACGATTTGTCGAGTTCCGCGAGCTGCGTTGTAACGACGTTAATCACTGCAGTATGGTGCGCGCGCGCGAGCACGTTAAGACTGTTCGACACGTGTCCGGTCGTAAATTCACACATGTTGGGGCCAAAGTATCAGTGAAATTGCTGCGGCTCGGCTGCTGCCCACTGGGGACCGCAAGCTCTCTCTCCCACTTGGCTTCTTACGTCGCGTAATTGCGCGCGACCTGCGGAAGGGCCGCCGACGCGCCAACGGAATTAACGGCTATTCCTATTTCACCACGCCGCCCCGCTGCACACGAACCTCTATCTCTAGCTCTCTCATTCGAACGGACTAGCCCTCTCCAATTTTCTCCCCTGTTAAGGTAACCGTCAACTTGTCGCAAGCTTCCCGCTGCTGCACACTTGAAATCGCCGAGACAAAGCAATTTTCACGACTGACGTAAGCTCCTGCAATTGATTGACGCTTCTTATTTTTCTTGTCTCTTATTACTCCCCGTTTGAACGACGCAGGTGCCACAAGCTTATTACTAATCTATTAATTTCAATCATTTGTATTTCTTTAGGTTGCACTCATTCATGATTATTACCGGTATTCATTATTTAATGTCTATTATAATGGCTTTAATCTGTTTAGCAAAAAATGCTCACTCGACTGGGACTTGCACAAGGTGGATGATCCTGCACCTTCAACGCACGTTAAAACACGTGCAATTCATACATATAAATTTGTACATGATGTAAATAATAACGTTATTCACATAAATCTATTTTTCCATAAATTTGCATTTCTTTTTACTCGTTATTTGTCCTTATCTTGTCCACATTAATTACTAGAAAAATTACATATAAAAGTTTAACTTGAATCCACATTTCAAAATAACAAGTTGATTCTCGACTAATATTCTTTAAAATGATCTTTTAACGAGACTTGTAAGTTATCGTCTGATAGTACGTTAATGATTATCCCTTAAATTAGTTCCATCCCCAGCTCGAAGATGGCAGCAACTTGCCAAAGTTGGAAGGCGGGAAATTATAGCCGGTAATGAAAATTTCTATCGTGTTCTTTACCATATCAGACAAGTGTCGGTATCACTGATCATAGAATATTCCTGTACGTTTAAATAATTTTGATCATACTTGATTGGAAAGGCAAAAGAATCTCTGTAGAGAGGAACCAAATAATGTGAAACATTTTGCTTAGAAACAATATTCTTATTTATTTATCACACACCAATATACAAAAATGAACCGTATTAATATCAGAATATAATGTACTGCTAACTTGAAATATATTCAATAAAGCTATATCTGAGTATCTTACAAGATTAGAATGATGCCTCAACAAAAAAAATCGTCTACAACATTCTTCACAGTTGGCACAGAAATTCCCGGTAGAAAATAGCTTTTCTACGCTGGCTCTAGCGAGATTATAAAAAAGTGCGACTTTTTCTTTTTATTTCTTTTTTCCTTTTCATTAATTTTATTTTAATTTACGGAGAATGAGAGCTTAAAGCGCTAACGGATTCTGCTATGTGTAAGTTGTCATTAGTGAAAATAATTCGGAAAGGGATTCTTCATCGTCAATAATACGACAAATATATTTTTTCTTCAAAGAACTCCATGTGATGAATAGCAACGCGAGGAATACAATTTTTTTTAATAATTATATTGCAATTTCAAATTGACTTTCCGGCCTGCCTCGCACTTAATGATCTTTAATGTACATAGGTATTCTTTTACATCATTGTCTGCCCGTGCCGTCATTGCACATTACAAATTAAATGGAATGGTAAGCACAAATACAACGATCGATAATTTTTTTTCTTATTCGCACATGGAGTTGTTCCTTACACAAAAGACCTGCACTGCTTTTGCTTGACGAGCGACGCATGTTTTTTTCATTCGAGCTGCATATTGGTAAGTACTTAACATATAATCGGCAGATGGTTCAATGTATTTCTTCAATTAATTCGATTAAATATTGTTATTTTTATATCTATATTTCGCTGTAGCTCAAACAAATAAAATGCATCGCACGCAAGCATTTTTCCAGCATTGCCTGTTTCAATTGACGGCTGACAAGAAAAAACTTTGAATAATATGCTTTTCTAAGTTACCGTAACTAGATTCGAAAACATGGAATGTATTTTTTCCGCAAATGATATATACACATACATATGTATATATTTATATTTATCTTTAATAATTGTATATGATTATATCACAAGAAAAATTCAAATGCTCTGTACAGGATAGCTTCGATCGGCATCAAATGCCATCAAAGTATAGCTTCTTTTTTTATCTCAGTTATTTGAATTTATATCAATGTGTTATTTTTGTTGTTTAGACTCGTATGACTTTTTAGTTTACAAAGTTAGATATGTCTCAGGATCACCCGATGTTGTACTTCATGCGATTCTTTCACGACGATTTTTCTCGTCGCTATTTATATTTATATATATAATCCTATATACTTCTTACGTCGAATTACGCACGACTGTACTTAATTATATACAAATACATACACGTCATGTGGTATGTTTCCTCGTGTTCTTTCTGCATAGAGACAGACCCGAGCCTAGCGCAAGGCTACATTTCACGAAGAATCGAAAAATGATGTCGTAACTATCTATTCATTAAAGAAAAAAGTATATCTCGTCTACGTATGATTTGCTATTCGCTAAACAAATGGAAAAAAAGTAATTAGAAAGTTAATCGAACGCATAAAGTACAAATTAATCTCAAGATAGGTATATGTACAGATTTTTTTTAAATATTTAAACAACTAACTTCTCTCTCTCTCTCTCTCTCTCTCTCTCTCTCTCTCACTCACGGTAATGGCGTAGGAAGTTGAAGAGAGCGCGCGCGCGAGAATACGAAATCCATTAAAATTCGTGACTTGCGAAGTCGAGCTGTGAATTTTAAATTTCATCCGTTTGATTAAGTTGAATTCGCGCACCGCAGAGAAAAACTGAATGAAAACGCTTGAGAGGTTATTCCTTGTTGTGAGATGTGTACTCGCTCTCATTGACCTATATATATATATATATCAATTATGGAATATCGCCATCGAGCCTCGTCAATATTACGTCCGATTACGTATCGCGTAGGCGTCTCGCACAAGATCTACATTATTGGCACGTCTTTGTAATGGCAAGTCTTGATTTTTTTAATTTTTGTGTTTGCATTGGCACGACATTATTAAAAGGCTCAGTGTTCGTTTACGTGTCACTTGAGTCATCCTATAGAAAAGATTGTCCAAAGTTGCGACGAGAGAGCGTGGGCGCGCGCGCGCGCGCGAGTGTATGATACGTAAATTGTGCATGATTACTTTGAGAAAACGACACACTCGGTTATTGAGAAATGACTGGAAAGAATGGTGACGTAAGAAAGATTATACTAAACGAGTGATAAAGAGATTAGGTCCCTATAGGTATGTATGTATGTGCGTGTGTACGTGTGTGTGTGCATGCGTGTACACGACTCGATAATTCGATAATAGTTCTCGGACGGCGTCTCGATTGCGCTTGTTCGTCGAGAAAAGCATCACGAGAGGAGGGTTGATTTGTTGTTCGTAGGCCGTCGACGCAACGAGTTCGCACCAGCGCGGGGCACTCAATTGTAGGGCCACGAGTGCCTGATCGAGGTAACGACGTTCGAGGTCGGCGTGTCCTCCGGGCGTCACTTTTTCAGATCGTTCATCAGGCTCATGTCCTTGTTCTTGACGTCGAGAGAGGACTGCTGACTGCTGGTGACGCCGCTGCCATTGCCCGGATACATCTTCTCCAGGTGATTGAGCGACTCGCTTAGGAACTTCTGCAAATCAGTAAGCAACTTTAAATACCGCATTCTCGTTGTCGAGCGAATGGCACACGTACCTGTATCGCTGTGAGCGCAGCGACGATGGCGGGACTGCCAAACCCGTGCGATATCAAAGAGAAGTGCGTGAGGTGTCGCTGTATGCTTGGGTCCAGTATGTGCTGCGGCCGTGTATTGCACAACGGTGACCTGTCCTGGTTCAGAAGGTCCATTAGCTCTTTGGTGATCTGCCTGGGAAAAGAAAGCGAACGGCGGTCACTCGGCACGTCTATTAAAAGTCCCGGCTGTGCGAGCTTTCGTTGTTTACACAAAAAGAAAGACCAGAAAGAAAGCGCGAGGAATTTGAAGATGACGCTGATGACTTACTTGGTGGCGTGTAGAAGCTCTTTTCTCCTGTAGGAATCCTGAGGCTCGCAGTGCTGCCGACTCAGGTATTCGGCGACCTGCTTTGCCGGGAACTCCGTTTCGCACACGTAGCCAAAGTCCCTAGCCAAGTGTATTGCCTCTCCTGCGAACAGCCAACGAGATACATTGATCTTACTCGACAGTTCCCTCGCATAAATTTCTAAAAGTTCAAGGATCGGCTCTAATCTCGCTTTTGACAAGTCCACTTGTCAAAAGCGACCATTAAAGATTGCCATCTCAACACTTTTACTTCCGGCCTCGCTCTTTATTTTTTTGCCGTTACGAGCAATTTATCTCTTGTAAAAGAGTCGTAATAACGATGCGAATCTGCGAACCTGCCAGGCTGGCGCTCGCTCGCTCGCTCGCTTCCTACGCATATCCGGGCAGATTTCAAGCAGCTGATACTTGATGCCGCGCGCGATGTAGTGCCTCGCAAAGAAGAAATTGGGACACATGATTACGCTACATTTTCAGCGCTTTGTTGTTTTCATCTTGCGGTTTTACTTCGCTTATCTATTCTAGCCGCTCGCCCACGACCGACCCGCGCTTTCTTTCATAGAAATGTACGAGCCCGATTTTGCGCCTACCGGTGATATTTTTTTGCCCGGGCTATTAAAGCGTGAAATGGTTGCTCTCCCCATTTGCTAGAATTGTAAATGATGAGTAGTAGCCTGACGCGATGAAATCTAAAGAAGTTCGCTTGAGCAAAAGGCAGAAAAAAAAAGAGAGAATAAAGCGGACGCGCGCGTACGTTCGGTCATCGACGACAAAGAACAAGTTGAAACCTTCGAGGTGTGTACGCGCAAACACACACGCGCGCGCGCGCGCGTACGGCGCTTTCATTCAAGCGACTCTTTTTGATGCATCATCATTTAGCAAATATAATTCGCGCCCGATAGCGCTTGCATCCGAATAATGACAATCCCCCTTTCGGCAAGTAACAATGAGAGCGAGCATCGGTGAGCGCGCACGAGGCCCAGGCAGTAATCGATGTTTTCATTTCAACACGTGGCGCAGAATGTGCGATAGCAGCTTTGAGACTCTCCTCCCCCCCATCCCCCTCAACTTTCACCTCGTTTCGTTTTTCGTCGTCGTCTTTTGCCTTTTATCTGCTTCGGCCCATCGGCCACAGCAAGAATATAAACGCGCGGCGCTACTCACTTAATTGCCGGCATATAAGTCAGCGTGAGAAAGCGCAAAAACCATAAACAGCGCCCTTTTCGACAACCAAAGAAGTAAAAAGAAATTAATAAAAAATAAATACATTCGAGCTTCCTATATATTCCTCTCTTTATTGTCATACCGTTATGTATCTAGAGATTAAGACTTTAAATCTTTCGCTGATTGTCCCGTCGCTGCCGCAACAACAGGTGCGCCCAAAGCATTTCCATGCAAATTGTTGCGGGGACCTGCGAAGATGTACTCGTATATGTATACTTTGTTTCGAAGCGGCTTGGGTGCCGCTCGTTTGGCATTCCAAGAAAGCTCTTTACTGTCATGCCTTTAATTGAAATTCACAACTACAGTGCGAATACAATTTATCTGAATTTCTTTTTCAACTTTTTTATAACGCACTCGGTATGATTGACTATGTAACTTCTTGTGTAATGTTTTTCTTGCCACTCTCGATTCAAAAGTAATGACATTTTTTTTCTTTTCAATTCAATTATCATCAACCGACTGAAAAAAAATGAGACGGGTTGGGAAGGAAAAAAATTGATACAAAAGAAACTTTAATGTACCCTTCTGCACGGTTAAGCACAGTTACATGATGATCCCGTTCGTCCGGCAACGGACAATTTTCGTTTCATAATCACGCGATCAACGCCGACATGTGTATTCCGATCCATACACGAAAAGACTTTTTTATCAAAAATTTTTATTTGTTTTAATTGGCTAAGTGAGTGTAAATGCAAATCGTCAAGTAATGTATGTATTTTGAAATTCACCGATGATTTACAATGATATTCACGCACGCGGTATTCATTAAGAATGTTGGGTCAGTCGTTTCTAAAAAAGTCGTCTCAATTTTAAAGATTTAGTAAATGAAAGGCAGAATTGCTTCATCGCTTTCCAAATGCTTGTCAATCACCATCCTCTACTCATATCCTGGGTACATATATCGCATATGGGAGAGATTTTTACTGAGTCACGCGCACTGGGTAATTAATATTGACATGTGTTTTAAAAGATTTTCTGTTGCTACAACATCCTCTCATCCTATAATTCGCAGCAGTACGAATTATAGGAGATTTTTGGTAATCCATAAGCACTGAAGTAAATAAATAAACTGCTCTCGTTTCATAATTGAAAAATAAGGAATCAGTCTATTAGACATACGAAGCATACTTGTATCAAAGCACTTAGCGGACCGACGAAAAGAAAGAGAGAGAAAAGTGACATCATGTTCGCGTTTGCAATCCATCACGCGCGGAGATCTCCGAGAGAAGGCCCACGCAGAAGCGCGATTGTCGGGCGAAAGTGTGGGAACCCCACAGGTAACTGCGATATACTATATGTATTATATGTAATGTCCAGAAAAGTCGAGTGAAGAACCCTGCATATATAATAACGAATCGAACGCTTTACGAGGAAAAATATTCCGGTAATATAGTAATTGGAGCTATCACTACTATAGTAGCGCGATATACTAGATTCGAGTCCTAATTTCTGAGAGTTACTATTATAAAATGAGAGTGAGTGCAGCTCGCACTTGTCGTCGCCGTGCCAGTTTCTTTAAGTTTCATAATATCGCAGCGCTGATGTTTCGATAATCCAATTTAAATATACTTGACGATTCTTGATTGACACATTGATATTGTATTCGCTTTGAAATTGAACATAATTTACCGGTCAACTAGATTCCTCAATTACACCAAATGCTGTATGTTATTGATAAAGCAGACTCGTAATAAGAAACGACCTTCGATTTGCGATTCTCAAGGAAAAATAGAAATCGATTTGCAATGTAAAAAGAAAACGGAAAGGAAAGGAAATGGAATAAAGTTCTGCCATTTTGGCACGTCGAGAACCAATGAAAGTCAAAAGGGTGAAAGGGGAAATCAAGTTGAGCGTGCGATGATTCACTCTGCAACGGTTTCGAATATACGTTTGCGTGACGTAATTGCATTGAAGGGCGTACGCGTAGCGCCAAGTCATCGCTGCAGCGATGCGACGAATAGAGAGATCCAGCGTCGACTCCGCCCACGTGTGTTCAACTTTTTCCACCGTTATTTGTTTGCTGAGTTAACGAGTGTCAGGTGGGCTCTTAGCTTTATTTGTTCTTTTCGATACAAGAAAGTAAATTGATTTCGGTCGATGCGTTCTTTATCTTTTTTGTTTTCGTGCAACCGAGTGTGCCGTTTGATCAGCCATTCGATAGATTTTTACGAACATTTTAATAGCGAGCGTGGGAGATAACTGGCTATGTGGTGCACGGCCAAATTAGCATATATGTCAAAAAAAGCAAGATAGTCGAAATTCGTAATTCAACTTTCTTTTCGCGCGCGCAATCGGCTTTAACGGTCTTATAACTGATTCAGTTGTATACATATACAATATATACTTTGTTCTTACCTGAACCTCCTGTCGCGAGTAATAGACGGATACCGTACGCGAAATTGACTTCATAATTATACAAGTTTCTTACTTCACCTGATTCAATCAGTGTGAGTCATCAAATACGAATACGAAATAAAAGAAAGTGCTGAACGTTCTATTAAAATCCTATTAGCCGTGAAGTATCGTAATTAAGTAAGCTTTAATGTTACTCATGGCTGTTTAATCACGACTGCCTTTTAAAATGCATTATTACGCAGGATGCTCGTACACTATCAATGAAAGCTTGCAAGATCGTTAAGTAGAATATCTTCCATTCAGATTTCGTCTCTCATTCTGCTTTTTCAAAAAGTACTTTTACTCGAATGTTTTTTGTACTCGTATCTCGCTTTTGAGATTGCTGTTAAAAGAAGTGTGAAAGCGTGAAATAATTAAAGTCATTTTGTAATGACTTTCTTGAATTTCTATTTGAATTTCTGAATAACGAATTTGAAATGTTTGTTTCGCTTTTACGGCGGGATCTAAGTAAAGTATCACGGACCTTTCAAATTGACAAGTGCATCCGCGCACAAGCTTAAATATACATGACTTTCAACGAGAAGTAAAAATGTCTTCAAGTAGCTTACCTTCCACCAAGGACGTTAGCAGTGTAACATTGGCAGCCTTCCTCCTTCCGGCGGGAAGATTTAGTCCGATTTTCTCGAGTTTTTCCCTCAGAAGTCTTCCGCCATTTTTAGATTTCGCCCTACAAACGATGTAAAAAACTGTGAGTCTGCGCCATTCAAAAGAAAATTAAATTGTATCATCACTCACAGCGTGGGAAAGCTGCCAGATAAACAAAAGCAAAAACAATCGCAGAAAGAGAAAGGAGTTGGAATAAAAGGTACACGCATGGTGCGAAAGAAAACGCAATAAAAAAAGGGGGGGGCATTTCGAAACGCAGTCCGAGACATTAATCATCGAGCAAAGAGGTTTCGGAGGATATGCACTCGCACAGGAACGAAAATTAGCATAATCGTCGTTTGCCTCTCTCGCAGCTGCCTATTGGGAATCTGCTCTCCTCTCGCTCCATTCTTTCACGCACATATAATGCGATAAGTTTTGTCGAGCTGTTCCGAATGCGAAAATTGGATTTTCGACTTTTACAGTCCACGCGTATCCCGAGATTTACTATCGTCCTCATTTCCAACGCCATTTTCTCGCCTCGCTGTTGTAGCGCGTTAAAAAAATATATTAATAACATACTCTCGCGCCATGAAGCTCGTCAATGTCAGCAAAAACTTGAGGTTCTGTATCTATAATATAACCTAATGAAGAGCAAAAATAAATCAAGGGATTTTTATTCTTTCGGTATGACGTGTCTTCTGAATCGAAGGTGCAGCGCGGCTAAAGTTGAAATATCGCGTAGCCCGTATTGCCGTCGTAAAGTCCACTCAGCGAGTGCATTATGGAGGAATGGAAACGCCGTAAAGCATCGCGCGTCTACTAGGCACGAGACTTTAACTTCCCAAATGCTAATATACAGTTTGGTGCGTTGCGCGCTGCGCGGCTATTGGGAAAAGGAGGCGCATTCTAATCTTTGAGAGATCTCAGAGGCCGCGTCACGATGTTCCGATGTAGACGTTTGCCCGTATCGTTTTACCGGGGCCTCGACTGTAAATCTGAATCTCCCGAACGATTGTTGTAAATTTAGCGCGCTTTCCTCCTCCTCTCTCTCTCTCTCTCTTTCTCTCTCTATGAGCGCAACTTGATACTCGCACGTAAGCGAGAGGAGGAGAGAAGAGGAAATCGACGAAAGAGATTTCCTCGCGGACGCATATCCACACCCCGCACGTTCATTCATCATGCTTGCCTATCTGCTATGATGAGCTTATAACGGTTTCTTTGTCGAACTTATCGTGTTCTTTTAACCTGTACACAATTGCTTTTGAGATTTCGTTGCACACATTATCCACCAGCGAAATCGTATTTCCTTTCAACTTGCAACAAATAAAAAGAAACTTGGACTCGGGAATTGATGCGATTAAAGCAATCAAGTACACTGATTTGAATAACTTTCTTCCGATATTACGTCAAAAACGTCATGCGTGAAGTGAATTATATATTGAATTCGTTCAGTGATTTTCGGTAATTTTCGGTCGGTGATTTAAATCATTGATATTATCGCGCGTAGTTCGGCGAAACAGTTTGGTATGTAAGCGTGCCCGCGTCATTAACTGAGCGATGCTTTAACAGGGCTACGTGACATAACGACTGTTCACTCGGCCCTCGCGTACCTCTTTAAATGACATCGGTTTCTCGCGATTGTGAAAATCACTTTTCAATTGTTTGAAGAAGACACGTCGATACCGACGCGATGTCACGTGAGTATTCCGTGAGTAAGCAGTGCGTCATTCGAAATCGACATTGAAATCGGTGCGTTATGGCCAAAGAAAAACCACGTTACTGTCGTCAGCGCTAAATGCTCGCTCGTTAGGCTCTTGGCGTCGGCGTTTCCGGGGCGATCGCTTTAATCGAGGCACATCGAGGCGGCGCGCGTGCGCGCGAACGTCGAACGTGACGATCCGCCGCCGCCGCCGTCGTCGTCGGTGGCGGCTTCTTCCATCACTCGTTAACGCGCGTCTTGTCTGCCGCGCGTCTTTTGCACTCAAGCTGTGCGCAAGGATATTGTTAATGAGACTCGAGGGTGTAGCGAGGCGAGTGCGCTTCGGCAAATTACACTGCCGCGCGATTATTATTTTCCAAGAGATTTCAAGACGCCGTCTCAGTAAAGTCTTTGAATTACGATTCACTCGAAATCATTAGAAAGCTTGACTATTCATTTTGGACGTAATCGTTCGCCGGGACTCGTCGTCCGTGCCGACTCGCAGAAAGGACATTGGCACACGATAACATGGGCAAGATCAACTGGTCGAAAATGAATTTGTTGAAAATTAGTTTATTCGAAAGGTTATCGAGACACCGGCCGTACAGTCGCGCGTTGCGTTCGGGCGTCAGTGACCCCCCCCCCCCCCCGGCGATCTAGATAGCTCTCTCGCTACGCGAAGAGGCGTCGCGATCAATCGGTCGGACGGCTTACGCAAGCGAATCGGCAGTGCGTTGCGGCAGCGCATGCAAATGTGCGCGAGAGAGTCCATCGATGCGGCGCGGCGAAGGGAGGGAGGGGCTTTCGTCGTTCGCTCGAGCCCCTCTCGGCGTCCGTTTTAGCTGCGTAGGGGGTGACGGGCGCGACAGTTTTACGGTGCGCCGGCCGCCGTTACAGACTTGTACCGATCGATTCGACCGCTCATCTCGGTAAATCGCAGCGCCGAGATTCTACTTGGATCTACTTAGCCGTTAATGCGCGAGAGAGCGGATTCGTACGAGGCGGGACGATTGCGGCAACGTTCGCGTTGCTTACCTTCGTAGTACACCACCGAGCAGGCTGGCGTTCAGGCATTCCGGGGGTGAGAGCCGTCGCTGCACCTCCGCCACTGTGACTTTGTACTTGCTGGTGCTGCTGAGTAACGATAACCTGCCGGGAACTGAGCAGAATACGTCCGACGGTTGCGCGTTCCCCGTCAGCATTGCCTTGTCCCCTCGCTCCGATGGCTTCATATCTGCGAATCACACGATGGTTCATTGTGTTATTCGATCGCGACCACTTTGTTTCTTTACATTGCGAATTAATGCACCTGCTCGCATGAAAGATCGAAAGTTCAATAAAAGACAAAGATGATTTCTTGGAATATCGATTTTATGTATCGTGGATCAAACAATATTATATGAAAAATCCATTTGAGCAAATTACTTTTCGTAAATCTTTAGTCAATGAGATCGAATGTGCCGAAGCTTTATCGTTACGTAAATGCTCGTGTAAACTAAGATTCGGTAGAGGCCGTTACGTACTGCGACATAAAGCGCATTTCTTCCGTTCGTTCATAAAAAAAACAAGACATCGGCTTTGCCGGCACCGGGATTTTTTTATTATTTTCTAAGCGTTATACCGAGAAACGCGCCATTAAACAGCTCTTATCTTCGCGCTGTCGCGCGAAATCAAGATCGGCGTACGAAATAAACCAGAATCGGCGTAAAAAAGGCTTGTATATATAGATATGAAACTGGTTTTTAAAGACACGAGCAGCTGCTTAAAGATGATCTAGGAGTCTCGAGAGTCGGCAATTACGCGTTACGCCCAATTCTTTCGAAAGCCTAATTACGAGCCTTAGGAGAAGGACAGGGAGGATCAATAAAAAAAAGGGACGCGCGGAACAGTCGGATATTATACGTTGCGAGGAATGCTGCCACGGTGAAAGTTGAAATCGAGCTTTTTTTTTCTTTTGTTGATCATAGAGACTTGCGAAGGAAGCGCGCGCATATCTTTAATTATTTTTATTCGACGCTAATGGGCTCTTCAACTTGTACTTTCTAATGCCGGTTGAGCCTTGTTCTTCCTGAAAAACGCGAAATTCGTTTTTACGAACAGTCTTTTAGTCGAGCTTAAACGACTGCAATATATATAAGGTATTATTAAAGATGTTTTAATTTTATTTCTAAAACGAGCGCAAGGTTCTGAAGAAAACGCCGATATAAGAGAAAGAAATGGGCCATTGAATGGCGGATTTTCAAATGTACAAGAGTACATGAAATATGATGAAATTCAAAAAATTTCAATTTGTCGATTGGCTTAAGCATCTTTTTAGAATATTGAATCGAGAATTTAGAATATGCAGGGGATACATCATCTAGAAAGCTGGCAACTCTTGGCGCTATTGAAAGTACGTCGAAAGGAGAGGGGGCGATCGATTATATAAATATTGCTTTACACGAAATTCGTAAGCTCGCCGAAATTTTCATTTCTACAATGCACCGGGCCAGAGCGGCCTTATCTCCGCGTTATTGCATCTTTGGAATGCTTAATATCCGAGGAGGCGCACTGGTCAAACGCCCGAGTATTGGCTATGGTATGCCGATAAGACGCGCCAAATCTTAGAAGAACGAGAAAACGGAAGTAAGTGGCTCCCCGAAGGTTTCCGACCGACGCGGCTATCTTTCCGATGGAATTCTTGTTAACTTTGTCTGACTCGTTAGGCTCGAAAACTTTTACCCAGGAATGCTCATTGTTCGACGATTATACTGTAACCCCGTTTGAACTAATTTCACGCTTCACTTTCCAAATTTAATCACTCCTCATTGACATTTAATTGTCAAGCACTCAGTAGATAAAGATGTTGTTGGTGCAAAGCACCAAGTCGTTTGATTCGCAGCTTTACCGAATATAACTTTCTAAACCCTTTCACTGCTAATAAGCGAAGAGCTAATCCCAAATTCATTTGCATTTTTCAGCTTACGCAACTGCGCGCTCAGACTTGAAGTGCATTAAAATCAAATTGAAGAAGAAAAGTTGAAAATCACAAAGTTCTCGCGATGAATAAATTGATTATCAGCGTTGGTCCGTTTCAAGCGATTAGACAGAGCCATCATGCCGTGCAAATGGGCAACGACGCACCTTATCAAAAAGCCAGCGGTTCTCTTGTCACTTCCCTCGCGTGGGCGACTTATACAGCTATACGCTCAAGATGCCGTATCTTCGTTGGAGACTCTTCACTTCGCCCTTGGCTCTTCCTGGACATTTGCATGTACGCTCGTGCAAACCTGCCTGCCCGCTTGTGTGGCTCTGACGACTGACACGACTTGACACGTGCAAATGATAAATTCTTTATTGCTTTATTGCTCGTTACGACTTTCTTTGCCGTTCCTGTTTTGCCGCTTTTAAAATTAACGCTATTTATTATTCTATGACTTGTTGATAAATATTGGGCAATCAATATTTATTCATCCTCGTGGTTTTCGGAATACCTACCTATGTTAATGGTTCTTTCTGAATGAAATTTTTAATTACACGTCAATCGTCTATACCTGTTAGATCATTCGTTACTTTGTAAATTTTCGACGAAAAGATTAATTTAATTCACGCCAGTTGCGGTTAGAGGCTATGATAGTTACAGCGTTGCACAATCACCGAAGTTTGAAGCAAATTCCAATAATAATCACCTGGACTTTGCTGGGAAAGCCCGTTTATCAAACTAATCTTATGCTCTGTACATAGATACGATTATCATTGTACGAGCAACTGATCGGCAATCACTATACGTAAATCTTTACGCAAATCTCTTTAGCTTTAACGCAAATTCGAATGAATGACTTAGACATTTGGCTGGCCTTATCTGAGATTTAACTTGTCAAGTGGTGCATATTTCAATTTTGAGTTGTTATAAATTTCTTATTTTCACTTTCCAATTGAATGTATAAATTCAAAAATCACTTAATTTTATCAGGCACTCTCGCGGTTAGTAGCGCGAACAAGTGGTATATAGATCATATTATACCCTGTGTACCCGACTAATGGATCTTTGAATTTGCGATAGCGCACGCGCAAAGTCAATTTTCTCGGGCATCTATGCTAGCTACCGTATAATTAGCGATGGTACGGCTAGATACGGGAAACTCAAGTGCAAATTATCCTGATTGAACGATAAATATTAGCAGTGCTTGATTTTCAAGTACTCATACTACATTTATCATTTTGACTCGTCACGATAGAAATGTAAATATTAAACCATTCGATCATTAGTGATTGTAATGCGACTAAACTATTTAGTTTAACTTTTTATTTCGCACTGCTAGTGAAATTATGAACTTACCTAGTTAATAGCTAGATAATAAGTTTACCAAATAATTTGTTTATTCCGATAGTCGTTTTAATGATGAGTTTTATTTTTTACGGTAGCTAATATTCATTACTATTTGCAAATACAAATATAAGTATAATTGCTGGAACATTTTTTAATAAATCCTGTTTTATTGATTGATAAAACGGTAAATTTGATTGAAAAGTCATAGTCATGTCAGTTACTAAATAAATTAATATTTTGATGTGATTTTAATGATGCTGTCTTGGGAAATTTATTGAAACCCTGAAACACACCCAGATAATAATCTCCAACATCGTCTGAATTATTCAAAATTAAAGAGAATCTACTTTTGACTGTAATCTACCAACGAAGATGTCTATACTCGATTGATTAATTCACGAAGACACGAATCCTGGGTCGAACAAAAACTTTCAACAAAGAAATGTGCCCGTTCTGAGAAAATGCCGATCCATATTTCGGTTTTTACCGAGGGTCGCAATAATGGCAAAATTGAAACATAAAATCGGTAAAAAGAGGTAGCTCGGGCGCGAACAAAACGAAAGCTTAGCGATTGTGCAAGAGAAAAGGAAAAGAGTATAATAATAAAAAGAAGCGTTTATACAGCTGAATAACGGTGCAGGCGTTTGGCGGCAGGGAGGAAAAAAAAATGGAGAGAATACACGATAAACGAGTGAAGAAGAAAGGAGCGAAAAAATGGAAGAAGAGGAACGAGGCGAGGAGAAAAGCACACAGTGTGTAAGGCGGCGCGGTCCTAATAGCGATCGTGCCTCGGGAGCGGACTGTAATTTTCATTCCAACGGAGAAAGGGAACACTCGCGTCTCTGTAACGGGGGGAGAAGAAATAAAGACCAGAAGCGCCGACGAACCCATATAGCGCTCGCGAATCGATAGGACGTGCCGATTTCCTCTCTCGCTCTCTCCCTACGATTTTTCACGCACATTCAATTTTGCGATTATCACGTAACCCCGCCGCTCGATGACCAATTTCTTCTTTTCAAATCTCCACTAATCCTTTTCGTTCGGTTCAGTCTTCAGAAATTTCCGACGTGTCTTAGCTTGCGTTAATAATTGCGCGAGGTTTGATAAATCGTTATTTCTTTCATTTCTCTCCGCGTCGCTTACTTCAAAAAAAAAAAACAAACAAACAAACTTTCGGGCATTCGCCACCGCCGCGCGTGTATATACATAATCACTTGAAGATCAAGAAAATCGCGCGTAACTTTCACGAGGTTGTTGCACAACATACTTACGCTTATTTTCCAGGTGATCCACGTGCGAGTTAATTTAATCGCCACCTGTGCTTTTCCCAAGACATCGTCATATATTCTAAGCGCACGACCTACTTATATATTAAATAAAAGTGAGATTACCTGTCGCCCATTGGATTTTGCATAGAAAAAAATGTTTTGACGATACAACGTGTCCTTTAAAAAAGTTACGTTTTCCCCTCATATTGAGACAGAGACATTTTAGAAATTGAGTGCAAAAGGCTCTTGCGTGATAAGGCCGCATTTAACTAATGACCAGTCTGCCTGCATATGTCGTTAATCTATGCCTTGTAAATGAAATTCGCTGTTTCAATTAATTATCAGATTAGTGCACGTTTCGCGCGTTTAATGAGGTATACTTTGCGGTTCCAATAAATAACCATTAGTCAATAAACACAGACGCTTTGTTATATTGTACGTTGCCAATGCGATCATTAAGTTACGCACGTGTGAACCGATACTGTAAAAAAGCAACGACCGATAAAATAATGCATTGCATGTCAGTCAAATCTAACAGAGAATTTCACTCGCGGACAACTTCACTCTGGGCAGTTAATTATCGATTAAAGCGCGAAGTGTATAACGTCAAACGATTGGTATTGAGTTTGAAAATTCACCGAAACCGCGCTATTTCCA